CGCCGAACCATGACGGAAAAAAGGCGAAGGCGTTTCCGCTCGCACGCTAACGACGAAATCGGCACTGCGGGGACTCACGGCGAAGCAATCGACGATCCTGGGATCCCGGCCGGACCGTCTCGATGGCACGGAGGTCGCTTCGACACTGGCGGCGACGGTGGAAGGCGCTTTAAAGGGTGGATGCCGCTTTAAAGGGTGGATGGCGCTTTAAAGAGTGGAAGGCGCTTTAAAGGGTGGATGGCGCTTTAAAGGGTGCGTCGCGAGGGAGGGCGCTTTAAAGTGGGTCGCACGGCTGGGTGTCTAGGGGGATGAGGCTGCGGATTCCGCAGGGGGAGCGAGGCTCGCTGCTCCTCTTCCTGCGTGCCGACTCCGACTCGCAACGAAGGTGAAAGATGAAGGTGAAAGCTAATCCTTTTCGGTCGGGAGGCATCGATTCTCAGGGATTCCCCTCGAATCGCTTAAGGCTGAATTCTCTCTCCTGCGATCCGACACGGCCGAACGACACGGTCGGAGTCGAAAACGGCGGAAGACGAAATCGTGGACTGGAGAGAATGTCGAAAGCGACTTTCGATGAGAATGTTGGGAGTCCGAGATGCAATCGAATTGCGTCGAAACTTGATGATAGTGCGGGCAAAATCTCCCGAAAAATCGCGAAAACGGCGGAAATTAAGCTCTTCGCACGGCATCACCTTCGATTCCCTTTCCAGCCGGACCAGCCGCTGCTGGACCGCTGGACCGCTGGACTTGCTCCTCCGCGATGACGTCCAAGAAAATGGGATGTCGATGGATGGTTTCGAATGGCTAATCGAATCGCACCCCAGCTGGCCAGGTGCCGGTTTTTTTTTGAGTGCCGGGCGAGCACGGTTCGGACCCTTTTCCGGGTCCTTCCGGCTGGGGATCAAGGATCGTCACGATTTTAAAAAAAGGTCAGACGTGCAGCCCATTAAGGCCTTTACTGAACAAGGCTTACTACATTTCTTTCAGTCTCTCCTGTTCTGCAAAAAAAAAATGTTTTTTCTCCGTTCTGCCCATGGAAGAATGATTTATAATATGATTTATAATATAATTTACAAAAATATTCACTTTCTCTGGAAAAAAAAATTACATTTTTTCTTCATACAATTGTCCTCCATGAGCCCCGTTTTTAGGAGGGAAAGAAAGGGCAATGGGTGTCAGCTCTGAAAAGCTAAAATGGGAGGCACGAAATTAGAATTGAATTTCTAATTTAGAAGAATTAAATTTGCGGAGAAAGAATTCTCGAAGAAACCGGCAGGAACTCTTTCAAATCCGTCTGATCGCACGTCCGACTCTCTCAGGAAAACGGGAAATGCGGATTCGTCGAGTAGCGAATTCCGCAATGAGGGAGAGGGAAAGGCTCATTTTCGACGAACGAGTTTTACCGGGAGTGGCCATGGTAGAATAGTGCGAGGAAAAAAAAATTTTTTTTTTTCACGCCGGAATGCGTATTCCGGCGTGAATGAAATGCGCGCGTCTTATTCTTGAGGGAGCGAAGAACCGAATTTCCCTTTCCCGGAGAATTTCTTTTTATTTTTAATGCGCTCCTCAGGCGAAGATGATGCAATCCCGCAGGGCGAAGTCAGATTGACATCGTCGGTGTGGAGCTCCCAAATCCTGAGGAGGAGCCCGCTCCTTTTTCGGATATGTTGCATGGTTCAAGGTTGCAAGAATATGTTGCATGGTTCTTCCGGCGCCCTCGATCGTTCCTCTCCTCGCGGGAAGGACGGGAAACGCGCCGGGAAATTCCCTCGGAATTTTCTGCAGGGCGGGCGAAGATGGTTTTTTTTGTACCGCTGCGTTCCAGAATTTCCGGCGCCCATTCAGATGTGGGATTCTGGGATCCCGTGAAGTCCATGAGGCCAGATGGGCAGACGCGTCGGCGGCAACGAGGCCATTTGGAGGATCCTCATTTCGCGAGGCGCCTGCCTCGCAGAAGAGAATGTCCGCCGGCACGATCTGCCTTCTTCCAGCCGCGGCGGCTTTGCAAAAAAAAACTTCTGTAAATGCGCCTCGGTACGACGGCTAGAATGAATAGGGGATGCCCTTGGAGCCCTTGAGGGCCCATGAAGTCCTTGAGGGCCCATGAAGTCCTTGAGGGCCCATGAAGTCCTTGAGGGCCCATGAAGTCCTTGAAGGCCCATGAAGTCCTTGAAGGCCCTTGAAGTCCTTGAAGGCGTCCAGTGCGGGATGCCCCAGTGGAAGGCGACCCAGGCATTAGATCGAGCGATGCGCGGGGTCGTGTCTGTCCGTCGAATCCAAACAAAGCTGAGTGCTTTCTCCTTGGCCTGACGCTGCACGCGATTCGAGTTCCTACGGCATTCAAACCTTGCGAGCGTTTGAGGGACACGGGCGTGGCACGCACTGTGAAGCGTGTCGGATCGCCGACCTGGCATTAAGATGATGCTCACTGGAATGCCGCATTAGAGGAGGCTGCTAGCCGCATTAGAGGAAGCTGCTGCCGCATTAGAGGAGGCTGCTGCCGCATTAGAGGAGGCTGCTGCCACTCAGCGGCCAGCAATATTGCGGAACCTCTTTTGCCATCATGCCCTTGACCCAACTGCCCTGGACTCACAAGACCACACGGCAAGTTCACGAAGACAGCATGGCAGAGGACATCATCTTCGGTGTGCAAAGGGAAAACCCAGGTGTCACTGTAGTTTACACTCCGGACACATTCGACAGAGCCCTACTCACCCTGGAAGACGATGTCGTTTCACCGATCGGCAAGAGTCTGCAGCGGAAAGGTCTTCCAGAAACGAGGAGGTGGCGCTTAGCAATCAAATATCAAGGGAGACGAGCTCCGATCGCGACCGCTTGCGGAATCACGCGAGGGGAAAGGAACCACGGCCGGTGCCGGATGGAGCCGCTGGACGCGAGAGAAGACTTGACAGACGGCGACGACGCTGACGGTGCTGTAAGGGAAAAGTCGACCCTCACAGGTGAGACCTGTGAAGTTTCTACAGGTGAGACCTGTGAAGTTTCTAGCCGAGTTGGTCAAAGAGGCATTAAAACAATATGAAGCCCTGACATATGGGACGTACGCAGTACTCGCCCGTGCGCCGCCGAGTATCTCTGCTTGTTTATTACGTCAGGAATAGAAATTTTAACATTCATTGTGGTCTTAAAACTCGGAATTTTCATTGAGTTATATTTACCTCCATTCATAACAGTAGATAGAGTGAGTCTGAAAGACGATGGGCCCAACTTGCTATCACTGATAGCATAAACACTCGTCGAATAGGCGCCGAAACTTCTCACGGGCATTAGCATTGCTGCATTGAAGGATACCACAAATTAGCTCATTGGCATTTCCTGACTTTTATCATTCAGTCCTTAACCTCTCTAATGCTAGACGTCTGACGCGCGTGACTTACAATTCCCTTCCAATATCATGGGGAAGGACATGGCATGCGTCCCAAAACGTACGTGGAAACGATTGAGCAACACGAGAACGGCCTGTCCTTCCGCTTGGCCTACGACCTAGGGGGAAGGACTGGGCATAGGCTTGGAGGCCTCGTACGTTAGGTCACGATCCTGCAATTCCCAGTCAGACGGGTCGAACTGGCAGTGGATGCGGATGGTTAAACGCTTAGCGTGTCGGTCACGCGCATCTTTTGAGTCCTTTCGGCTAGCCTATGGCCGGGAAAGTGTTAGCCTTGGAGGCGTCGATCTGGTAATCTAAGGTAACTCTGGGCGTCGATCTGGTAATCTAAGGTAACTCTGGGCGTCGATCTAGTAATCTAAGGTAACTCTAGGCGTCGATCTGGGCGGCGGATCGACGGAGTCAAATGTCCGATACGCGAGGCAAGGTGACGGAAACGAAATGCGATCGCTCTCGAACGCCAAGCAATTCCCATTAATCGCAACGAGACAGCACGGATGAGTGCCACTTGGATTCTACGTAGGAACGTGCCAAATGCCGATTCCGTCGAGGCCATCCGAAGCTTCGTGCGAAATTGGATTTTTTTTTTGCGCTTTGCAAATGCCGTGTCGTGTGTGTCTTGGGCCCCGCGAAGATTGTTCCTGCAGTAAGATGAAGAAGTTTCACCATCCAGATCCCATACTTCGTCCGGCCGCGTTGTCCAGCCCCTGTCTATGGTCGAGGCACTCTTCACAGCATATCAATCTCCAAAAAAGTAGGAGTAATAGCAGCCATAGGAATCACATAAGCCACTTGAGAGTTTTAACGCTAAGATGGTTAATATTAAAGATCGTCGTAGGCCTGAGCAATCGTCCAAGGGTTGGATATAAGCCTGCTAATTCAATCACCTCACGGCACGTGCCTTCTATGTCAAACTTCATCCAAGGTGTGGAATGATACAGCTATTTATTTTCTCTCCTGCTTCCATGAAAGAAGAAAATATATATATATGAGTACTATTAGCCTAAGCATCCATCCATGGGTTGTGCCTAGGCCTGCGAAATCAGTCCCCCAACCGCCCCCACCCCACAAAACGTGCCCCAAGGGGATGGACCCCCAAAGTTGGGCATCGAAGTTAGACTCAGGTTTTCGATTCCAATCAGCTATTCACGTTCCTTCTGTTTTGTTGAAGGCAAGGGGAGCCTGGGAATGGCTTATGCCTAAGCGTCCGTCTGAGGGTTAAACCTAGGCTTACAAAATGAGACCCCCTGGAATGAGCCCACACGGCACTTACCCCCAAATTTGGAATTTTTCTGGAGTCAGCAATCTAACAG